GGGGGGGGACACAGGGGCCCGGCGCGGCCGGGGGCGGCGTGCGCGCCGGGAACGCCGTCCCGCGGGGAGTCCCTGAGCGGAGGGAGCCGGAGCGCGGGGACCTCGGGGGTGGGGGCCGAAGGCAACACTCACCGGTTCCACAGTCGCCATCTTAGATCGATCTGATCGCACAACCGCTCCTGAAGGGGGGGCGAGAGGAAAAAAATGAGATTCAAACCGGATTGGCCGGCTCCTGCCCACGTGACGGACGTGTCCGTTTGGCCCTGGCGGCGCCTGCGCAAGACTGCAGCTGCGTGGGGACCGAGAGGCTTCTGGGAAGTGGAGTCTCTTTTTTTTTTTTTTTTCCTTAACGCGAAGTTTTTTTTTTCCCTCTTTTAAAAAAAAAAAAAAAAAAACTGATCACGTGGTCGCTGGCGAGGGTGCGCGGCTCCCGGCGCCGCGGGTGCTAGCTGCAGAGTAGGTTCTAGGCCTCTGCGGTGTAGCGAGCAGAGCTACGGTCGCAGTCGTCACTGCGGGGCATTCCTGCTGTGCCCTTTGTCGCCCAGTCCTCCCATCGTTCCTAGAAGATTGGGAATTGCACGCTCAGCACACGCAAGAAGGCTTCATTTGCTTAGCTGAGGTTCTAGGACAAGTTGCTTGTGTGTTTTTTATTTAGTTTTCTTTTCGCCTCCCACCATTTTCTCTTGGTTTCAGAAAGAGGCGGCGATGGAGAGTCGTTGATGCGGTCTGCGCTCCCCCCGTCCCCGATCCACTAAAGCAGGTGGTCACTTGTTCCCATCGCTGCCCAAGCGGGGGGGGCGGGCGGGCTAGCCCACGGTACCCACTCGCACGCTTGGGGAGGAGGAGTGCACGCGTCGGCTTTTCCTGTTCCCAGTCCTGAGATGAAGGTGTCAGGGTTGAATCTTACTGGACGTAAAAAGTTTGGAAGTTCTGTCCAATCAGTTCCAGTATTCTGCTTGAACGTGAACGGAAATAGCCTACGTCCAGGTGCCAGCCAGGGAAGCCACTCGGGGCTCCGCTGACTCAGCCCTGGACTGAAGGTCAGGAGTCGTTAAGCCGGGTCAACTATGACTCTTGACGTTGACTCATGCTCCTTAGGGGAGTGACTTAATCGCTCGGTGCCTCAGCTTTTTCATTTATGAACCAAAGATGATAATACACTTACCTCACAAGGGTGTGCTGTGGTAAGGACTGTAACCAGCTTTGAAAACGCTTCGGAATCTAAATGCTTAGGAGCAAGTGCGTGCCTTCCTAAGAACCAGCTGCGTCTCCTCCCGCTGCTGTTTTAACAATTTTTTTTTCCTGATACAGGGTCTCCTGTAGCCCAGGCTAGCCTCGAACTTGCGGTGTAGGGGAGGATGGCTTTGAATGGTAGATCTTCCCGCCTCCACCTCCTCCCAAAGTACTGGGAATGCTGGCGCGTGCCAGGGGTGGGGGTGGGGCAGGCGGCGATTGGGGTGGAACCTAGGGCTTCCTGAGTGCTAGGTGAGCACTCTACCAACTGAGCTACATCCCCAACCCTTAACAATGTTTTAAACTTTTCTTTTGTTTACTTTGTTACGTTGCCATGTACACCAACACAGTTTTAAAGTTTCAAGACCCCTTTTCTTTTCGAATGTAGCTGCTCTCAACAGAAGCTTTATGTTCAGGAAATTATGTTCATAACAACTTCTAACAAACAGAAATTTGTCCCCACGCAGGCATGCTGCATTTTCTTCTAATTTACTGGGCTATCGTTTCTCAAGACAGTGTTGAGTAAAGGTTCTAATGAGGAAGACAGGATCTCCTTGCTATGTCCACGATGCCTAAGAATGTTATCACCAGGAAAAGCAGTTCAAGCAGGCTATCTGTGCCAGCCTCCTTAGGGTGTTGCTGTTGTCCCGAGCTGTGTCATAGCTATTATTGAGTACATAATGGATGCTTGGGTTGACTAACACATGCTTGAAGCTGTAGAAGAAACTCAAAGCCAGTTGCCTGCTCATGTTTTTGTTTACCAGAATGGCAGAAGTGATTTAAATGAAAGCTTTTGTTTACTCAGCACCAGTAGATTCTAAAGTCGATACAGTTCTGCAAACTAAGCAGATAGGTGAATTTTTACGCACAAATCTGTTACACGAACCAAGGTAACTACAGTTGATCCCTTTATTTTCTGTTGTTTGTAAAGTGATATCTGGTTTACTTTGGTGAAAAGATAGCATAGAGAGCTGGGAGTGTAGCTTAGTAGAGCACTCACCTAGCGAGCAGGAGGTCCTGTTTTAGATCCCCAACACCACATAAACCCAGCATTCTGGAGGATCAGGAGTGCAATTTCACTTAGGTGGCAAGTACCAGGCCATCCAAGGCAACATGAGAATCTATCCAAGAAAAGACAAGACAAGACACCATAAATATCCTGTTTTATTAAGCTGCAAGATAACAGCAAAAATCAATCCTTTGGCAAGAAAATATCCCAATGAGCCCAATAGCCACTGTTATAAAACTTTTGTTTTAAATAGCTTTCGTTTATATTTTTTTTTCTTCAACTTTCCTCCTCTATTGTCAGTCAAGACTCATCTTGGGCTAGGGTGTAGCTCAGAGGTAGAATGTTTGCCTACTTTGCTTAAGACTCTGGATTCAATTTCCAGTACTCCTGTCCTCCCTGTTCCTACCCCCCCCCCAAAAAAAAAGACTTGTGCTTTTACAGTACTTATGTATGCCCCATTCTTTGTGGTTTAATTGATCTCCATATTTGGATATGATTTGTTTCATATTTTTAACATTTCAGATGTGTTTGCCTAATATCAACACTTAAGATTTTATCATGTCAAATATTTGGTGGCAGGGTTTTATGTGTTATATATCTGTCTGTATGTAATTGATTTAGTTTTATTTATTTATTTGTCGAGTCAGAGTCTTGCTATGTTGTCCAAGATTGTCTTGGACTCATAGACACACAGGATCCCCCCACCTCATCCTCCAAAGAAGCTGGAACTAAGGGTATAAAGCTGCTGTCCCCAGCTCTGTGCTAAACTTAAATGTATGCAGCAGACTAGATTATGTTTTATCTACTTACAAAAAAAATGCATTTATCACCCTGCTACCATATCTATGCTGGTATTAAAGAAAACAAAAGTTTAATTTTAAATCAGACTTATGAATGAGAGATGATGTTGTACTGCTGTCCTATATGATGGGGTTGTCTAGATCACACACAGCTACTTTGGTCCAGCACAGTATCACTGTAGCTATTCCTTATAATCCTGGGCTGATTGAATGTTACTAAGCATTAGTAAAAAAAAAAAAAAAATGATGATATTTTCTCAATATAATATATTCCTCAGACTGGGATATTGCCAGTGTTTATAGATTTAACCAATGTTGAGATTTCAGATAATTTGATAGAACACATGTCGTTTGGATGTATACTTTATCTCTGGAGTTTCAGTTCCCTGATTTAGATGAATGAAGTTACCGTTTTGCTAGACTTTTCAACTATAGTTAAACTAATCATACCTTCTATGATCTGTATAGAATTATTACTGCTCACTTCGGGTTCTCATCATTGTTTTTATTTAAGCAAGCTTTAGAAGTTTAGACATCCATAGTTCCCAATAAGTACTAAGCCTGATAAGTCATTTTTCTTAAGTAGACTTTGAGAAAGAGGGTATGAAGTTGTATGAGCAAATAAATTATGTCAATGTTGTAAGCTGAACATTATCTAGAAATAATCTAATCCAATTTCTAGTCACATCTTCCACTCCATCCATTCATCTGTCCACGAGATATGGTACTGCCTGTACTATAATTTATGTTCTACTGTTATTATTGTACTTTTCCTTCAGGAAAGATTCAACATATAGTATCTCCTACATGAAAATTAGCCTTCGGGATTATTTCGATAGCTAAGAACATTTAGGGTGCTGAAAGCTCTCATACTACAAACCTTGCTTCTCACTCTGTTGATCATGGACAGATGTTTTAGTCAGTCTGTGCCTCATTTTTCTCATGAGTTAGATGGGAAAATAATACTGTGTCATTTGGTTACAGTGAGAAATAGTGACTGTTTCATGTAGTATGTTTGAAATAGTTTTTAGAACGCAACAAACATTCAATTTTACTGGTCATTAGAGTGGTAAAACATTACATTGATGTAAATTTCTTTTTTAATTCAATTTTCTTTGCCATATACTAGACAAGTGCTCTTCCATTGAGCTATACGGAGCCCTCTTTTTATTCTTTATTCTAAGACAGGATCTCACTAAGTTGCTCAGGCTGGCCATAAACTCACTCTAGCCCAGGCAGAACTTGAATTTTCCCTACTCTGTGTCAACCTTCCATGTAGGTGGCATTAGAGACCTTTGACCAGGCTTCTTGCTTTGTTATGGTGGTGGTTGTTGTTGTTGCTGTTTTTAAGACAGAGACTCACTGTGTAGCCCAGGCTAGCCTGGAACTGCCTAGTCCTCCTCCATCTGTTTTCTGAGTACTGAGACTGAGTGTGACAGCATACATTGTTTCTTCTCTTTTGGTAAAATGTAATATATTTTAAGAATTCCTTTGTCTCAAGAACCAACTGCTGCTTATTATCTTTTTAGGATATTTCAAGCTTGTGTAAACTACAAAGTCAGCTAACATGGATTGGTCTCCTGTAACATGCCAAGTATTTTTCATATGCATTACTTCATTTGACTTTTATAATCCTGTTTGTTGATGATGTTTAAATATAAAGAGAGAGTGTTTACTATTAAGTGACATGTTGAAGTCTGCAGATACAATGATGGAATCAAACCATTTTTCTCCTCTTCACAACATAGTTGCTTTCTTCTGATTAGCTCTTCCAGATGATGCTTATTTTTCTTTGAAAACGTTTAAATTTATTTTTTGGGGTGGTGGTGGCAGGAAGTGAGTGTGGACCCTGTTCTCTCTTCTCACCTTTATGTGTGTTCAGAGAATCAAACTCAGGTCGTCAAGCTCACCTTTACCCACTGAGCCATCTCCTGGGCTCTCTTCAAAGCACTCCTAATTACAAGTTGGTTTGCAAGCCTGACAAAGCATCCAAGAGGGACTAAGTAATGGGAACTATGTGATCAGTCAAGGCTATTTAAAGACACATGAAATAGAGGCACTTCCTTCCTGGATTTTAAAATCTAGTTGGTATACTAAGTCATGGAGTTATAAATAATTCAGTGCCCATAAAAAGGAGTGTGACTAAGAAACAAGAGGATGCAGCTAACAAGCACCATGAGGCACCCTAGTGATGAGTGGCACAGTCACATGATTGCTTCCCGCATTGCATTCAAGCCTCTGTCCCCCGTCATGTGAGAGATGCCATCCTTGTTCATCCCTGTAAACTAGCTTCCCCATTACTCTGTTCCAGCTCTGCTTTATTTTGCCCTTACTCTAAGCTTGACATCATACCAAACATTCTTTAATTATTGATCACCTCTGCCATGCAGATACCAGCTCCTTGATGGTGTGTAGGCACGGGGTAATAAATATTTAAAGGAAACTCAAAAGTCATTTGTAGTTGGAAGGTTTCTCTGGTCCCGCCCGGCCCCACAGTCCCACACGGCCTTGCAGTCCCATAGCTGCTTATAAAATAATCACTCAGAGGCTTAGTATTATTTACAAACTGTATGGTCCATGACAGGCCTCTTGCTAGCTAGCTCTTATATCTTAAATTAACCCATTTCTGTTAATCTATGTTTTGCCATGTGTTCTGTGGCTTACCAGTGTACTGGCATGTTGTTCCTTGGACAGCAGGCTGGCGCCTCTCTCCAGACTCCACCTTTCTCTTTGCTGTCTCTCTCCTTGGATTTCCCGCCTGCCTCTAAGCTGCCTTTGCCATAGGCCAAAGCAGCTTATTTATTAACCAATGGGAACAACATATATTCACAGCATACAGAAAGACATCCCCCAGCAGTCATTTTTCTTAAAAAGCCCAGCCTTAGGCCTCATAAAGTAACTATCAGGAAAAATCCTTCAGTGTATGCCAACTAAGTCATTTGTATGGGTACCTCATTCAAAAGAGCAGTCTGAAGGTAGGCAGCCTGGTTGTTCAGGTGAGGGAGCCACTCTTAGCCAGTCTGTGAGATTGACCAGATTGTAACTGGACTGCATAATGAAGGCTACACTCCAAAACGACGAGAAAAGAAACAATCTGTGGATAATGTGAAAAATTCATACAAGTAGTATATTAGGCCAACAATAAGGTTAAATAAACATAATTACTTTATGCAATTGAAACCTGGATGTAGACCAGAACTGGGTGACCAGCTCACAAAAAAGTGACATGGAGACTTAATATTAATTATGAAAACTTGGCCTTAGCTTAGTCTTGTTTCTAACTAGTTCTTATAACTTAAATTAACCCATATTTTTTAACCTATGTTCTTCCATGTCTCATTACCCCATCATCTCTCTGTACTCATGCTGCTGCTTCTGCATCTGGCTGATGACTCTGCCTTCCTTCTTCCCAGTGCTCTCTCTGTCCAGAAGTCCTGCCTATACCTCCTGTCTAACTGTTGGCCATTTAGCTTTTTATTAAACCAGTCCCAGTGACACATCTTCACAGTGTAAAGGAATATTCCACATTTCCCCCTTTTTGTCTAAATAAAAAAGAAAAGTTTTAACTCTAACACAGTAAAACTATATACAATAAGAACAATTACCAGGTAAGAATTACATTTATACTGTCTAGTCCATTTGCATTTGGCAAACTTAGAGAAAATACTCCTTTATCTTAATTTTAGTCCAAAGTTTTATACCTAAACCACTTTTTTGTCATAAATTGTATTACAATCCTAAAAATATCTTTTTAGACCTTAAAACATCCTTTTAGATAAACAACTTAAGCTTTTATGTTTCTCAACCTTATAAACTTTATATCTCTTATGTAAGTTTTTCTTTTGAATTTGGTAACAAGAAAAACTGTAAAACTATAACTATCTGGTCTTCAGTCTCTTTTCCTTTTTAAGCCTCAGATTTTTTTTAGACATATTGTACCTTTTTGGAGGTTGTATGTGTCTGGACCTGGCTTTTCTAAGCATCTATAGCGTTCTCTGATCACATGAGACAAATCTTAAACTGCATGTCAGCCACTGGAGCAGACATTGGGTACTATATGTAGACAGATTTTTTTCCCTTT